GGAGGCTGAGCAGGTCTTCCTTTCTGGTCCGGATTATCATTACAGGTCAGAGTAGAATATGAATTATTTTTGCACAATGCCCATTGCACCCTTTTGCTACTGATATTTCTGTTAACACAACAGTGATTGTTCTCTGATAACTATTTCAGTGAAGTGGAAGAATTTAATAGAAAGATCGACAAACAATTCAGGAAAGAAGGGAGACCATTCAATTGGTTGGTATTGCTCTTATATACTTAAAAAATTGGAGTTAGATGTCAGTAATATGATTATTCTGTTTGGTTCAATCTCTCTACAACCCCAACAGTGCATAAGTGTTAAATCAGAAATATATATTACAGTTGAACATGTTGAAGCAAATGTTTCTTATTTAACTCTCTCTCTCTCTCTCTCTAATTCAAATGAGCTTTATTGGCATGACTTGCACAGTATTGCCAAAGCATTGTCCATTACGTGAATAAGGAATAAACAATTATATAATACATAATTATTTTACACTCTCTCTCGCTCTCTCTCTCTCGCTCTCTCTCATCTCTCTCTCTCTCTCTCTCAATTCAATTCAATTCAATTCAATTCAATTCAATTAAAATCAGCTTTATTGGCATGACTTGCACAGTATTGCCAAAGCATTGTCCATTACGTGAATAAGGAATAAACAATTATATAATACATAATTATTTTACATATCTATTCTTGTTTTGTTTAAGTAAATAAGTACATGTATCTTCCCCTAAAATGTGACTTAATTTTTCTGTGTTCGCTAATGCCATTAAATGTGGTTTAATTTGTAGGAATTTGGGGAAATATGCAGCTCTAATGTTGTGATAGTAATCACAGTGCAGTAAGAAATGTTCCTCTGTTTCCAGCTCTTTCTGTGAGCACAGTGAACACAGTCTCTGTTCTCGCGGCTGCCATCTCTGTCTGTGTCGTCCTCTCTCTATAGCCAGACAGTGATCACTCAGTCTGTATTTTGTTAGTGTCTTTCTTAATTTGTGATCTTTTACACAGCTCAGGTATTCTGCTGGTTTGTAGTCTCTTTTCAGGTCTAAATACAGCTCCATCTGCTTTTGTAATTTAGTGGCATCTTTCCAGTAGGCAATGTAATTGTGTTTTTGTAACTTTGTGATTTGGTTGGGCCGGATTGTGCTGTGCTGGTTTGGGTGTAGCTCGCATCACTGCAGGGCTTCAGTCCGGTAAGAGCTCGCATCACTGCAGGGCTTCAGTCTGGTGAGAGCTCGCATCACTGCAGGGCTTCAGTCTGGTGAGAGCTCGCATCACTGCAGGGCTTCAGTCTGCGCCGTACCCTTTTGTGTTGGGTCCTGCAGGAGTGCAGGTCTCTGGTTCAGAGCATGACTACAGCAGACAGACAGGGAAAAGGGCTGTCAGGGTTCGCCACAAATTGGCAATGAATTAGTCACATCAAGCTTAAAAAGGTACAAATATTTGTTTTTAAAAAGTGCTTAATTAGTAGATGAGTTCATGCAAACATGAATTCTAGACCAGGGCTGCAGGTTATGAAGCCATGTTTAAAATATTTGGACACTTGTTAACAATTAACTCTACAGGGAAAAGTTTAAAGTTTTTTTTAGAAATTGTGAATTTTATGTAATGTTTTTGTGTACCATGGAATTTTTGTATTTTATCTATTTAATAGTAGTTGAATCAGAATTAGCTTTATTTACCAAGTGTGTGCAAACACAAGGAATTTCCAGGAGCTCTTGGTTCATACACTACATACATCCCTGCAAACATATATGACACGAGAACAGAAAATAACAAATAAATAAGACTAAAGAAAAACAAACAATAAATAGTAATAACAATGTGGTATGAATCTGGAACACAAGATTTATGTACAGATTTTTGCATTATTTACTGTACTGCTGTATAAAGTATGTGTATGTATGTACATAATACTCGAGAGACAGGCAATAGCTAGAAATGGAGAAATGAATTGCAGAAAACGGGTAAAAATGTCTGTGTTCGCGGTTTAAAGTGGTGATGGCATAGGGGCAAAAACAGTTTTTATGCCTAGATGTTGTAATAGTGCACAGAGATCTGTAGCGTGCACTGAGTGCAGAAGAGCAAACAGGTTGTGTCCGGGATAATGGTAAATCAGCTCCGTGATCATTAGTAATGCAAACGAAGTCATGCTTTGAATCGTTCTCGGGGTACTTTGGTGCCGCTTCAAGTCAAACACACCAAAGTCTGTTTAGTTCTGGGCTAGGACTGCAGGTAAGGAGGTCATATTGTATGCAGAGTCTATACTAAAGAATTAATAAGTACAAATAAAATCTGCTGCTGGCAAAAAAAGGAAACCACGCGTCTGGTCCCTTACAGTCTATGGTCTGGTCACATAGCGATTGCCATAAAAGTCATTTAGTTTTGTACCATTCTGATTAAGTAGCTATTTTTAAAATTTAGAAACTTTTTTTTTTCCGGTCTAAAATGGCCGAACAACACCAGAGGGTTTATAAAGCATAAAAATAAAAATCAGCAATAAAAAAAAATAAAAAAACAACACTCCAGCACAGTAGATGGCACTATTAACCTAGAACCTTAGGTAGTTTGACACCCGTCAGAAAACGCATAAAAGAAGAAGAAACGCAGAAGAACATGAAGTACGAAGATCAAAATAAAAGAAGAAGAAGAAGAAAAAATGAACCCAATTACGAAGTAAACGGTAGCAAGACAGCGAATGGGCCTTGCCCTATCTTTTAATTTTAAAAGAATTAGTGGACCGGAGCAAGAACCCAGGTAACGCGTCTAGTGATAATCCCATAGATGTACATATGTAGATGCCTCATTAGCAATTGTTTCTATGGGCCGCGATACGTAAGACATCCCCCATTTTTGGAGCATCTGTGAACCCTCGAGCACAAGCTGACTGTGTGTCTACAACAGCAAGTTATACGCATGTGTATCTTTGAATATTCATGGATTATTATGGTGAATGACGTCAAGTTGACCTTTCCAAAATGGCGGACGCGTCAGCGTATCTGGAGCGGTCGAATGTGGCATCTATACATATCTGTGGATAATCCTCCTGAACGGAAGTTTCTCTCGACAGCTTCCGGGTTCTGGAAACTACATCTGGAAATCTGATTTATGACCATATACAATTAACAATAGTTAATAGATGTGAAGATATATGCACATATTACCATTGTTTGCTGGAGACATATATGATACATTATATGTACAAACATGGGGATAACAGGGTTTTTAAGTGTACTTGCAGACAATAAGCCTTTGACTAAAATTAAAGGCCACTTAAGTGTACTTAAAGAGAACTAAGTTTAATTTAAATGTGCATTTTAAATAATTTATGTTTTGACTAATATACTAATGTACATGCAGTATATATATTGTGGAACAAAATACAAGTCTCTTACACTAATGTTAGCCTGTCTGAACTATTTCTGATCAACATTTGTATGTCACATCTTTATCTCTGTCTTAATTTGGTCTCCCTAGAAAAACCTAACTGAAACCTTTCGTTACCATATTCCTTCTTTCAGTTATCAGTGTCCTAAAGGATGAGTAATTCACTGCAGATGCTGCAAGCAGAACTAACACGGCAAACTATGGTCTGTTCACTTGATCGCCTCTCTTGTGTAATTAGTGCTTGATATTTTGGATATGTTTGGACATGTAATTCAGGGCTCAACACGAGTGATTTTGGTGGCTTCTGCTTCTTTTGGAGCGAGCTCAGCTCTTCTTGTTCTTACGACACACAGTGCTTTGGAGCTCAAGCAGAGCTGAAGCACGTTCATCCACCCAGGAGCCAGATGAAGGACACAGAGATCTCTGTGGATCCTCAGGACTTCAGAAACAGCCCGTTTCACACAAGCACAAGCTGGCCCAGTCTCTAGAGGATCTGGAACCTGAACTCGCTGCCAGACCGAGACTGAGATTCACTAAACAGGAGAGACTCACAGGACTCCAGGCTGCACACTTCAGTCTACAAATGGACCGGACGGAAACTACTGGTATGTTTACGTTTTACTTTCCATTGTGCCTTCAGGCTTCATATCTATATACGATTTCGGCTTGATAACCTGTTTGTTTGTTTATTATTCCGACACCAAGGTCTTCTCAGACAAGGCAGACATAAATACAGAGTCTGGTGAGAGGGATGAATTATGGAGCTGGAGCCCTCGGGGAATCAAATAAGAGCACTTTAAAGAGAAGAAGAAGAAGTGAGCTGGTTGTGGAGAACGAGAAGAAAGAATTAAACCAAACTCTCCAAAGGTAGCATTCAAAAGGCCTTTTAGTTTGCCCTTGTTTATTGAAAGCATATTGAGTTGCTCTGATTATGTCATGTAATGTTTGTCTGTGTGTGAGATTGTAGAGGGTTTTTAGCCTATTCTGTGCTGCGTTGCTCGTGTTATTAAGCCGAGTGAAGAGCTTCAGTAACTGGTGTTGAGTGTGTGTTTAGGTCATAAACTGCACTAAGGTTTTTGTTTTAATCATTTGTGTAAATCTCATCAGAGAAAAGGAAAAGTGAGATCCAGGTTTTAGCAGGGTTCCCACGCTTCTTGAAAGTACTTGAAAACAGGCATAAGTCCTTGAAAGTGCTTGAATTAAAATTGAAATAAAGTTTATGGCGCTATTTCAAAAATTCTCCTATATGTTCTGTCAAAGACAATGAAACTGCACTAATGATTGGGGTGGAGTGGAAAAAACCTTGTGTGTTGATGTGCAGCCTAGAGGCCTGAGCGGGACCGTTTTCTTAAGCCCGCTCCCTCTGAATTTCTGACCATTACCGCCTGCTACCGCAAACATTCTAATATTGTATATACAGGGATTCAAGTTTTCCATCGCTACAACGGATTTCCGTCAATTAGAAAAATGAGGGGAAAAGAAACATGTAGCGCATTGTTGTTGTTCTTTACAAAATGACTACTTATCCCAGAGCGCACCGCGAGACGAGAAGCGCACACCCCGCCTACCAGAGGACCGGAAGTTGTGTAGAAGTCAGCCAGCCACTCACATTACCAACACAGTCTGGCGGGGAAACTCAAACTGCTGTGATCCCGCTATACCTTGGTTTTGTCTTTTGGAGCTTTAATACATCAAGGTAAGTTCATTCTTCTTTTAAAATCTCAACTAACATGTAGGTTTCACCTAGGGATGCACCAAATGTTCGGCGACCGAAAGTATAAGCGAAAAGACAGAATAAATTGTACCGAACAATGATATGACGCGATCAAATAGAGGTGCGCGCTAATGCAGCAAACATGACGGCAGTGTGGAAACATTTAAATCCGTCCGAGAAAGACGCAAAATCATTACAACCGACGGTTAGAGACGGTTTAGTTCTGCATCGCATGTCTTCGATGAGAAGAGGAAGGGTGATTGTTACTGCTATTCATAGGCGTAGCTTGACATTTGAGTTTGGGGGGGCCGGGCCAAACCGAACCGGTGGATTTGGTCAGACTACTTACAATAACCATTTAAAATGTATTAACTTTTACATGTATTATTAACTGCATTATATAAATTTTTACTTCATAGAAAAAAACTTTATAAATAAATATTTAGTAAAATTCTTAAATTGCTATGGGGGAGCCAGGCCCCCCTGGCCCCCCCACAAGCTACGCCCATGCTGCTACTGTATGATGATTGAAATCGCAAAATGCCCTTAAACAAGTAAATAAACTGCAGAGTGTTATGTTTTCTAATACACGCACGAATTGCATGTATTCAAACCATAGACTGTATAAAAACATGGAAGTAGTGTCCGTGACGTCACCCGTAGTTTTCTGAAGAGCGTTTTTGAAGCCTAAAGTAGGCGGAGCCGGCCGTCGCCATCTTGGCAGCGAGTCACCGCACATCACTCCCGGATAATCGAAAATAGGCAAAGAGGCGGGAGCTGGCTGCTGAAACCTCGCA